ACAACTTTTAAGGTCAACTTAGGCTATTAGCATGATGAGCACCATCCCCTAAAACCTCACGTGGACGATTGGACCAAGGCGTTAGTCTAGATACAAATGATTTGCATATATAAATAGTGGCCGCCCGAGGTCGCTGTTCGGTTCTGGAAAGCGATCAGTTAGCGCGTGGCGATGATCATGATGCCGCCGAATATATTCCCCCCGGACGAATAATGACGAACGCCTTGACCAATGCTCATTGTTCGCGGACTTAAAAAAAAATTAAAAGATAAATAAATAACAACATTCTGGGGCAAATCGGCCTGGGGCGAATTGACACAATCAGCTGACCACTGAGACAGACGTTTTCGTCATTGTCTTTGTCCGATATCCGAATTATTCATTATCCCCTCAAGCACTGCTGCAGGGAGCCTTCCTTTGCAATTAGCACCTGCTTAAACAAAATGGAAATTGATGATGAAATGTCCACCGTAATTCGTTAATTACCATAACGTTGTAGTGCGCCCTCAGTTGACGCTTGTGGGTGTTACTTTGACCTTAAATTGCATGTTGACCCCAAGTGGGCGCGGTAAAGATTCGATCGACGTACGGTTTGCCACCTTGTGTTATCATCAACGTTTCGTTTTGCGTAATGGCGATACGTTTTGGAGTGCTTTCATTTAGATAATGTTGTAATTTTAAAGTATTGACATTATAAAAATGTGTGAAAAAGGCAAACAAAAGGGATAAATCCTTAATTTTATGTTCACGTCTAAAACTGTAAGTTCAAAGGGGCTGCATATACCGTTTCAGCACTGCATATACATGTACTGGATGCATCTTACATTAGACATCATCTGTGACCTCACACTTCCGGGTGTGTGACCGCCACTTTCGTGACACACAGACGACAGACAGACACCGCAGGGTCTTTTAATATGGGACGGCTCTGTAGTATTTAATTAATGAATGGAGTGTTGTTTGCCTCGTGAAGCATCACTCAAAATCTGTTGGAAATTGTTCAGTTTGTTGTTTGTGGGTTCGAGTCCAGCCTGGGCTTGCGGTGTGTGCCCTTGGGCAAGACACTTTGTCACTTACTGCTTTTCCTCGCGCGGGAATAAATGGGTAACTGTGAGGGCAGAAGTGTTCTTTTATTATTATTATTTTGGGCTGCTGTGCACCTAAATGGCAGCACCAAAATGTATATACATAAACTCCTTGAGGGCGGGAGCTGAGATGGTTGTTTTATAATCCCAAACGAGCAGGGGTAATACTGATGTTCAGCGCTTTAAGAGTCCGCCTCGTACTTGTTGCGCTATTAAAAAACTATATATTATTTCACTACGGTAAGAAGGGTGAAGTTTGAAATTACGCCTGCATCTAAATCTAAGGAGGCGTTTAGGGCTGAAAGGTTTAGAAAGATCCCGTCAGTTTTGAAAATTTTTATCTTGATTCATCATTCGGCACAGGCCTGAATATTTTCTGAAAAGTTTTTTTTTTTTCATCTAACAATTGCGGTGGAAATTTACAGGAACTAGGATAAAGGTCGACGTTAAAACTATTTTCAAAATCAAAGTCGTTCCGTGACTGAGCATCATGAAACATTCCATTTTAATGTATTTGCCTACGTGTGTCATGCCGATGTCTGCTATGAATTATTAAATATAGACTCTCATATATGACTATTCACTGTCCTAATTATCGTCACTTACACGTTTGCCATACCACCATTGAGTCAGTATTTTATAGGGTCTAAATTTAACACTATATGGTACCAGCCATCCCCCCCCCACACACCCACACACACCTATTAAAAAGACAAAGGCAGTCTACATTTCAACACCCCTCCCTGCTTAAATATATAGGCTCTAGAACCGCGCTGAGATCCCTGGCACGTACGTTTGCTCCCGTTCCCCTCAAACTCTTCTTGCCCTGTGGGTTTCACACAATATTTTCACTCGTTTGTATGTTTGTTTGACTGAATAATGCAGTGGTCAGTTCGGTCTCAGCCCGGTTCTGTACTCTGATGATTGACCTAGACTCACGCGGTTGCGGCCAGCGCATGGGGAGATTTGTCCTGCCACCAGGCGATCCTTGTACCTGTACAGGGGTAAGACTAGGCGGTCATTACCACCGCTACGCACCTGAGATGCACGGGCAGGATCCACCGTTGTATATGGACATGCTACCGGAAGTGACTGGTGAGATCATTGGCCGTTGGTTCAACTGCACTGGGAGCAAACTGGAGGAGTCGACACTTGGACTCGCTGAAACCGCCCCTGAAACCACCCCTGAGCCGCCAATGCTGCCTGCAAATTGTCAAGAGATCTTGGATGCTGGTCAGACAACTAGCGGTGTGTATACCATCCGGCACAAACGCCAGAATATGACAGTCTACTGCCGCATGGAGTCAGGCAAAGGATATATAGTGAGCAAAGTTCCTTATTTTCATAATGGTTTTTTAAGAAGGTTGGAGGGTGTGTTGCAAATTTAGCTCACACATGGATTTGACGTTGAGAAACATACTTGGGGCAATTGTGTTTAAAACATGTTGCACAGAGTAATGTTGTTGGTACTATGGAAATTACAATCTAACCACTGTAACATAATGCATACGCGAGCTGTTGATTACTGCACCAGAGACAGTTATTAACAGGTGCCTAAGCTAACGGGAAGCCAGATGTTGCACCAGACAAACTTTGTTTCATCTGTTTCTAAATATGTAAATTGCCATCAAAACAAAAATGCGATTAAAGCGACGAGAACTTCCAGCATTATTTCTCCCCTAAATAAAATAAAATATTCAGCTACGGTCAGACCCTGATACCTGGTTAATTGTTTGTTTGTTTGTTTATGTCTAAAATTTCCAATATTATTCATGGGTGTGCCTATGTTTTCTTTGTTTGTTTGTTTGTTTGTTTACTCCACAAAATGGCTTCAATGTGTGTTCTGAAACGCTACCTATTCGCGTTCTGATTCGCTACAAATGTTAAACCCGGCCGAACAAGGGTAAAGTGGTCGCGTGGTAAACGTGTCCCAGTTTTACCATCACGCATATTGTTTCTGACAGGTGTTTCAGAGACGCCTGGACGGCTCGGTGAGCTTCAACCGAACCTGGCAGGAGTACGCCGAGGGTTTCGGGAATCTGACCGGAGAGTTCTGGCTTGGCAACCAGAAGCTGCATAGTCTGACTCTTAATTTTGGGTGGGAGCTGGTCATCACTCTGAGGGCGTTCGATGGGGACGAGGCCCGTATTCGCTATGAGTACTTCGCCGTGGGCACATCTGTGAGAAAATACGAGCTTTATGTCAAAAGCCTTAAGGCGGATAGGGGAAGTGCAGGTAAACAGCATCCCCGTGCTTTATTATCCTTAAGTTTGGGACTTTTCCTTCTGTCTGCACTTTTGTCTAAGATATAATATTCTGGTTTAACTGCGCTGTTCTCATAAAATTATTATACAAACAAAAATGACCGATAAAACCTTATTACTTATTGTTTGAATCTGCAGTCGATAATCTGTTCCTGCGTCCATAACAAATAAATGCTTCATTTGGCCGCTTGTTTATATAGGGAGAGAGCACACAAATTAACATGCAATGCAATATGTTTAAAATCCGTAGCGTTACAAACATGTATTCAGGGGAGGTTTACGGGAAGATTTTGAAAGATTCCTGCAGATAGAAACGCATAAAGTGGGTTTGAAGCAGCGTTGAAACTGTTGAATAGTTTGTTCCATGCCCATGCAGCATTTCCCCGAGTACGTACACAGGGAATAGATTCAGACGACCATGAAAAATAAAGAAAGGACACCATTTTTCCATGTCTGAAAAAAATGAAAAGAGTGGAATCCATTCCAAAGCCATTTGTATAAGTAGTCTGAGTAGTATAAAATGTTGATGCAGCATTCGTCACCCATTAATGTACTTATACAAGGTCTGACTATCTTTCCTTTCTTATGCGCACAGGTGATTCACTCGAGCGTCATAGGCATCAACACTTCTCAACTCCAGATAAAGACCATGACAACACCGACGGGGAAAACTGCGCTGAGAAATTCCACACAGGTTGGTGGTACCGCAACTGCGGCAGTGACATCAGATCCTGGGTCCGTTGTAACCTGAACGGCTTGTACTACAACAACGCAACAGTCGATGATTACATGGGGATACAGTGGACCACCTGGAAGGGTATACAGGTCTCTCTCAAAGGGTGCGAAATGATGACACGACCCAAATGGTAAGCGTAACCGGTGATAGAAAGGACCCATACGCCATCAGCCTGGGGGTTTGGTCGGTATCAAATGAGGGGAATAATGGTCATTGTGTTTTTTGGCAAGGAATACACCCCTGTAGTTGGAAAATATGTGATAGCATTGCAGCGGTGGCATCTTTTTTGGTGCTATCACTTTTTTTTAAATGGCAACCTAAAACATGCTTGTCACCACATAATAATTAATCCGGATTCGGTTCAAGCACATTGGCGGCCATTTACAAAAAATAAATAAAGTGATAACACCCAAAGAAAAATGCCACCGCTCACACTATAAAGCTATGCAACGAGGGGATATAATCAGGCAGCTTAGGCCAGGTTTTGGAATGGATGTGGACATTCCGGACAAAAGCACCAAATTTTCCATACATGCCTCTGATAGCCTTAGCATTGAATTTTTGATAGGAACCACCTTATCCAATTACATTATGGCGGCCATCTTGGATTTTTGAAGATGGTGGCCATTGAAAAAACTACATCTTCCTATATCTCATCTTCTAAGCCACTTAGGATTTAAATTTTGGTGTCTAAACATACCTTTTCAGGGTCAAGGAATGCACATGTACCATTTGGGATAGTGTCAAATGGTTAATTTGTCCAGATACATTGCGGCGGCATCTTGGATTTAAAGATTGCCGCCACTGAAACCCAATATCTACCAATACCTGTTCTTCTAAGCCACTGAGGATTAACATTTTGGCATCTAAACATTTATCTAAACAAACTCTTTTATATCAAGCAATCAGTCCATAATGGAGCCGCCTGCAGATTGTCAAGAGATCTTGGATGCTGGTCAGAGCACTAGCGGTGTGTATACCATCCAGCACGCATGCCAGAATATGCAGGTCTACTGCCGCATGGAGCCGGAGTCGGGGAAAGGATACATAGTGAGTAAAGTTAATGCTTATTTCAAAACCTTGCTGCATCTTACAAGACAAAAAAGGTTCGATGGATTGTTAATGTAGGCTAAATCCAAGAGGAATTGGAAATGTTGAAATGTTCTTTATGCAAAACGTGCAGTACTAAGCACTATTATAGGTGTTTGGGGGAAAGCAATGTAGCTACTACATGTATCAAATAGTGGGAAGTCCGTGCGTACGAGTACCGTTAAATGGAGGGTGAGTCAAAAGAAACGAAACCCATATGCCGGGACCATTGTTTTAGTGAAGTTCGGCATGTAGCACTTTCGATATCTAGGATATGAAAGCCCAATTCATAAGCTTTCTTTAAGTACAAAAATTGTTCAAATCACTTACGTACTGTTCAAGTTACGGAATTGTAAACACAACCGCTGCTTTATAAAAGTTCTGTGCACAAAAAGGTGTGCGTTCTTTCAGCAAAACGAAAACAAATCACATAAGGATGTGTGTGAATTGTTTTCGTTTTGCTGAAAGAACGCACACCTTTTTTGTGACGGTGGACAGAACATTAAAACAGTGGTTGTGTTTAAACCTCCGTAACTTGAAAAGTTTATAAGTGATGTGAATGATTCTTGTACTTAAAAAAGCTTACGAATTGGGCTTTCTTATCCTAGATTTTGAAGGTGCTACATGCAGCACTTCGATAAAACAATGGTCCCCACTTTTGGGTTTCGGGTTTTGGGTTTTACTCATTATTGAGTATACGCATAATACTCGACGGAAGAATATACTTCTCTACTCACAATATTTTTGGAAATTTTATTTCCTAATTATTTTATGTGGAATTTTCATGAAAGACATTAATTTATATAGACCCAAAGAAATGTGTTATTTAAAACTCGCAATAGAGGCTCGTTATTAATTTTAACTTGAAAATTAGATATGTTCAACTTCCGCTTAGTATTTCGCCAAACATTTTGTTCAAGTTAAGGTACAATCTGTCATCCTGGAGCCTAACCGCTTCTTTTACTTAATCCAACGTTAATAACATTTACAATTGTTTCTACATTTGTGTTATTGCTTCGGCAAAATGTATTGGTGTCGTCAGTAAAAAGGATAAAATAAAAGACCGCCGATGCATGGCAAACATCTTGTCAAATAGGTCCTCAGTAGCTGTATACAGTATTTGTTTAACTGTTTCGAATTAAAGGTCCACCGTCTTAAAAAAAAAAAAAAGAAACTGCACTGGGCAAAGCGTTTAATCCCAAAGAACCTTTAACCTATTCTTGGTAAAGTGGATCCAATACACGTATATCTGATCATTACCATAGCTCATATCGTTTTATGACAGGTGTTTCAGAGACGCCTGGACGGCTCGGTGAGCTTCAACCGAACCTGGCAGGAGTACATCGAGGGTTTCGGGGATCTGACTGGAGAGTTCTGGCTAGGCAGCCAGAAGATGAATAGTCTGATTGTTACCTTTGGGTGGGAGCTGGTCATCACTCTGAAGGCGTTCGATGGGGATGAGGCACGTGTTCGTTATGAGAAATTCAAGATATACTCACCTGAGGACAATTACGGGATTTATATCAGGGACTTCAGTGAGGAGACTGGACATGCAGGTACACAATACCACATTCGCTCAGTATTCTTACCTTAATACAACCTCTCTTATAACAAAGCATTTTTGTACATTTTTTTACGAGATTAGTCTAGTTCTACTGTGCTTCTCTTATCTTATCCAACAAAAAACTCTTTGACTGATTAGTGGCGTTACAAAAATTGGAAACTCATAAATCGGGTTACAAGCAGAATTGAAACATTTGGACTAGTTTGTTGTATGTCAATGAAGCACAGGCGCGGATCCAGGGAGGGGGTGGGGGTAAAAACCCGCCCCAGCTCTGTATTTTTTTTTAATAGAAATTCCTTAAACATAATGCAACCCCCCTCCCCCATCCTCACTGCTCTGACGCCCAAAACAATTATACTGGTAATAATGTCTGCGTGTGCACAAAATACGGACAGAGCCAACTTGGTCAGGTGGTATTTTTACACTATTCTGTAATAAGGTGTTAATAGTCGTCGGATTTGAACAGCGCTCAGATTGAAAGCATGGTAGGAGCCCCCTCCAGTGGCGTCACCAGACTTTTCAGTCTGGGGAGGGGGGGGGCACATGGGGGCACCAGCATTTGATGGGGGGGGGGCACTTAGGTGGATACGAATCGCCGTACTGGGGGAGGGGTCTAAGGGGAGGGGGTGCCCCTCCCCTTTGGAAAATTTTCGCATACGGAGGATGGGCTAGATGCAAAATGGTGCCACATTTGATGCTAAATTCGATCTGAAGATATCTCAAGAAATTGCTATTTTTGAGGTAATGATTTTAACAACGCGCAGAATTTTGCAGAGGATAGGGGGTCACCAGCATTTGATGGGGGGGGGGGCACTCGGGGGGCACTAGGTTTTCCAGGGGGGGCACGTGCCCCCCCCCGCCCCCCGCCCCCCCCCCCCCCCCCCCCCCCCCCCCCCCCCCCCCCCCTTGGCGACGCCACTGGCCCCCTCCCAACACACACACCCGAAAATGCCTCTAAACCTGTTTTCCAGAGATGGCGAAACGTTATGTGGACACGCTAGTCCGCATAACTTCAACACAACCTGCATTATGTGGACATCTTTTGTTCACATGACCACACAATGACCGTAAGACAAACTCACCCACACGCGTTTGTTTATGGTGTAAATCGAAGATTTTCTTTTGTTCCTCTTCCCTTTTCCTTGGTTTGTACCCTAACTTTTTCGCAACAGCTCTCATTAGTTTTGTACAAGTTTTCTAATCGAGGTCGTCCTCGATTTGGTTCCTGTCCTCGATTCACAGATGATGTTGCTCGTGTGTGTCCTCAATTTACACCATAAACAAATAAACACGCAAACGTGTGTGCAACGTCGATCGTGGACGTCCTGTTGTCCCTCTTTTGTTTGTACTAAATTGTTAGGAAGACTCCCATAGGTTTTGTACACGACCTCAATCGCGGACGTATGCTGGAAATCGTGGACTATATTGTTCTCTTTTTTCTGTGGTATATTTCGTCCACGGTTTGAAAGGACAAATCAAGTGTCCGGAGGGAAAAAAAGCTGTCTACGCTCGATTAGAAAACGTGTACAAAACCAATAAGAGCTGTTGCGAAAAAGCTAGTACAAACAAAGGAAAAGGAAAGAGGAACAACAGAAAATCCTCGATTTATACCAGAAACGTATGTAGTAGTCCCTTCCCTGCAAATTTCAATACAGAATGTGTCATCCATTAATGTACTTATCCAAGGCCTGACAATCCTTCCTTTCTGGTGCACACAGGTAATTCACTCAAGAGTTATCTATATAATGACTTCTCAACTCCAGACAACGACCATGACAAAGACGAGAAACACTGCGCTGAGAAATTCCAGGGAGGCTGGTGGTATGAGTACTGCGGTAGCACCAGCGACGATTGCTTCAAGAGCAACCTGAATGGCTTGTACTACAACAACGCAACAGTCGATGATTACATGGGGATACAGTGGGTCACTTGGAAGGGTAAACAGGTCTCTCTCAAAGGGTGCGAAATGATGACACGACGCGGACCGTAACCGGTGATCAAAAGGGTCAATTCAAAATACTACAGTGAAACTAGGAGGTAGAGGGTCAACCCTCAGCTCGAAGTATTTTTGATACAGGAAATGCTCTTTTAATAACTTTTTTTTCCGGCAAAAAGAAAAATATCGTCACCGTTTTCACGAAGAGCCACATAGTTTATGTTGATTTTGAAGAAAAAGCGTTTTCGAGATAATCGCAAAAGAAGTTTCTCATATTTTAAAACTGCAAAAAATACCACTTTGCAACAATTTTGTGGAGCAAGGAAACCATCACACGATTCTACGAGAGCTGAAATGTTACATGAACCCGGTAATAAGACTTAATACAGCAGTTAAGTTGGTGCAAATTAATTAGTAAAGATATGTGGCTCTTTGTGAAAACGCAAATTCAGGTTTCCGACATATTGGCCCTTTCTGTTAACGTGTATTTCCATAGGCGCGCGTGAGTACGCGCGCGCAGCTGAAAATGTAATAAAGATATGTGGTTCTTCGTGAAAACGGAAATCTCATTTGACCTACTTTTACGCATTTCCGTGCAATGGGTTTTGTACGCGTTCAAAGGGCCAAAATGTATGTGGCTCTTCGTGAAAACGCAAAATGCATTTATCGAGATTTCTGGCCCTTGCAACATTATTGAAACTTGGAAATTAATAACGTTTTGCTTACAGAAACATGTCAAAATGGTTGGGTACATCGTTTTAATGCAAAATATTGAGAAAAAAAATCAAAATAGAAAAATGGTAATTTTTGACATATGTGGCTCTTCGTGAAAACGGTGGCGATATGTGCTGGAGGTTTTGTTTTTGTTTTTGTTGAAAGTGGAGTGGTTGAAAGAGGAAGACGGTAAATTTCAATGGTGACAAATAAGAAACCAGCAAAGGGAATCAAATTAATTTGTTTGGTCGTAACACGGTATAATTCAAGAGGCGTATTGACATCTGGCGTTGGTCCGCGAGATCATCGGAAATGCAACACGACCCCTTATACGGGAGTCAATTGCCACTCAATATCGGAAGATTGCCAATGATATTACATACCCTATTTTTTGTTGTGCGGTTGTAGCTTTTCTTGCGGTAAATTATTTTAAAAGGTTATGTGAGAAATATTGAAATCTTGATTATGTGACAAAATTGTGATTTTGGTGATCTCAGTGCATGTATATTCAGTGTATTCGTTGTCTTAGCATTAGTTATCAATATTAACTCTCAGAGAGCATGAGCGGAATTATCCCCTGGTTTTTTTTTTGTTTTTTTTGGTTTTGTTTTTTTGATTTTTTGATTGCATCACCACACTTGTTTTTGGTTTCAATTAGTCATTTGTATTATAACTTATGGCGCATGTCCTTCCGCATTCATTAGCACATTTGTGATATAATGTTCTCGTACCGTTCTTGCGACGTGTCCAATAGTCGACGCAGCCTGGGTGCCGGAAAACGTGAAGTAAAATGCTCATTTATACGGCCCAAAAGATATACCATGATAAGAAAATTATCGTTTTATTGGAGTAAAACTTTGCAAACGCTATAATTAAGATATATTTAATATTGTTTCGTTATTGAATTTTTCCGAATCCTTAATCCCAAAACTCAAATCTAAATCTGAGGGAAAATACGCTCTCCTCACGGCTCATTTAGGGTTAAATTACGTATGTTTTTATCAGTGTTAGTGTACTATATATGAAATCAATTAATCTTTATACTAAATCACTTGTTGTAGTTATTGCTTTTACATCACTTTGAGTTCTATAATGTGCAGGGAACCGTAGTTTGGTGGTGATTGAGATGTACAAAATGAGTTGTATTTTTAAAAAATATATATATAAATTCCTATTTTTTTCTCAATTTGTGCAAATGATATGAATTTCTCCAGGGGAACTCCTTATTGTCTTAAATCGAAATAAGGCATTGACATAAAAGTCAATCAAAAGCACTGTTGGTCTGTAAAATGGCATGCATGACCATTCCGTGCCTTTGACATTCTTCATTTAACAACTGTTGACTGCTGTGATGTGGGACATGACGTTATGAACACCCAAGGGGCGCATATAGCACCCGAGGCGAAGCCGAGGGTGCTATGCGCCAGTCAACAATTGTTTTGTTATACCTTTGTCTTTGATTCTCGAGATTTTGATGTAATATCACGAAGACAAACGGCAGTAAACACAACAATCATGACACTCTAACGGCAACTTACATGCATGTCGCGTGCTCGAAACAGCTAGTCTGCTAGTTCGCTGCTCCCACTCATGTGTGAAAACATGGTGAAAATAGCGGGTACCTACGATACAAGCGGTTCACACCATTCGTGCCGCATACGTACAAAGCCAAAGCACACTCCCTGTAGGACCCCGTACGTGATATCCCACAGGGAGTGTGCCATGACCTTTTAACTTAACACGTGATCGTTCTAGGCCAATGAAAAAACAGTATTAAAGACAGAGGTATAACAAATGTGAATGTCTGGCCGATGGTCATCATACACTGTGGACTCTGCGGGGTATCGTATTGAAAAGATTGTAGGTTAGAAAATGTACACAACTTTGTTTAAATCAGTAACAAGGCTAAGAATGTTATTTATTGTTGTGAATAATAGTAGTGGCACTACTTAAATATACATTGTGTTTAATGTTGTCACGGTAAAAGTACTTATTTAATATGATAATTAATTTACATTATATAGGATGCGACTAAACAGAACGAGTCCCAAGGTAAATAACCTGAACTATACTTTTGAGCAACAAGCCCCATTTGGAAAAAGTAACTTTCACAATGGAAATGATTTGGTAATACCAATGTATTCAATGTCTAAGTTTACTAAGGGATTAAATGTGTGCTTATGAGGTTTAACCACTCTGTTTAAGACCGCTAGGAGTATGGGTGCTGATAAATACCGGAGCCAAAGGCGAGGGTAATTATCAGCACCCAGACTCCAAGCGGTTTGGTTACCGACCAAGCACATATTTACTCCCATTCATAAACATTTTTTTTCACCCTTTTTTTTTCATAAACACTTTTTTTAGGTTAAACAAAATCAAAACAGTTCGGTGAAAAACACCTATTTTGTTCAACAAGTTTACTTCATGTTTTTTAAAACACCATTTTAGCTAAATAATGGAGTGTCCAGTTTACGAGTAAGATATAAACAACTCATTTTAGACAATATTTCACAAGCTGCGTTGACGCGACTCTACCGCGATTCTACCGCGATAGGTCAATTGCGCATGCCTACGTGAGGATTGTGAACGTTCAACCAATAAAACGGTAAAAGGCATTGGATTTTTAGGAGTCAAACACTGGAAAAGTGTTTAAGACCAGCTAGCCATGTCTTTATCATCCGTTTCAGACCAGCCACGTGACGGGCTTTCGACCAGTAGGAATGGGTAAACTGTCTTAGTTATTTTTGAATACAAATAGTGTGAAACTGAGTGATCTATCAATAAAAAATGCTTTTATATCACACCCTCGGGCTCTGATATGGTCATCATTTGAAACGGATGAGTACAATTATCGACAAATAAAACTATTGTATTTTGTAGCAATGTGTTGAATATTATTGGATATTGTGGATATAAAAGTTTTACAGCATAACGGATAGCGTGTTTAATTTGTCATAGTAAACAGTTACTTTCAATGTGATCAGATCCAATAAAAACAGTCTGAAGCTGCTATAGGTCATTTTTGAGTTAGTGGCACCTTTAAATGTCAGCGTTTTACCCGCGTTTTGTTATCACTTTCATGTCGAGATATATCAAAATGAAGCACTACATTGTTTCACTCTCCAATCAAAAAAAACCTGAAATGTAGTGGTCAAGAAAGTGAAAGACACTTATTTTGTTAACGATGTGGTCGCATTATACATAATCTAATTGTTAAAACATCAATGGTCATAATATGCACTTTGTAGCAATCATTGTAATGAGGTATTGTGAAATAATAATATTGCTGGTGATTAAACCAAATAGTAGAGAGCATATATTTATGTTTTGTATTCATAAATACCTCAGACAGTTTAGCTATTCCTATTGGTCGAGAGCCCGTCACGTGGCCGGTATTAAACGGATGATAAAGACATGGCTAGCTGGTCTTAAACACTTTTCCAGTGTCACAATAAAATGTGGACTCCTAAAAATCCAGTGCCTCTTACCGTTTCATTGGTTGAACGTTCACAATCCTCACGTAGGCATGCGCAACACTACAAGCGAGTCAGAATTTTATAGTTCTAAATTCAAAACGCAACGCCCCAGGTGCGTTCTGCGTGACATCGCGCAGAACATGTTACGCGCGCGTCAATCTCCATAAAAGGGTTGTTTACATCTTACTCGCGAGCTGAACACTCCATTATTTTGCTAGAGGGATGTTTCGAAAAGCATGAAGTGAACTTGTTGAACAAAATCGGGATTTTTGAACGAATTATTTGAATTTTTTTTACGGATAAGGTATTTATGAATGGGAATAAATATGTGCTCGGTCGGTATTTATCACTCGTTTAATACCGCTTAGAGTCTGGGTGCTGATAATTACCCTCGCCTCCGGCTCGGGTAATTATCAGCACCCAGACTCTAAGCGGTATTAAACGAGTGATAAAAACCTCCGGAGCACACATTTATTCCCTTATTCAAATTTCATTAAATGTGATCAGAAGCAATAACAAAGATTTTCCAAAAATCAAGTTCAAACTTGAAAATCTGTGCAGATAGACTTTGTCTTGATAAATATCTGTTGTTATGCACGTGACGTTCTTGACCCAAGCTGTTCTGATTTTTTTAGCCTGAAGCCTTACGCATCTTTCGACACCAAAAACATAAAATTCGAACCACGGGTTGTCGCGCAGCGAAAAAAAAAATCCGGCGCTACGCGCCTTGAAATCTGAATCTCCCCATATACTTAGTGCAAACGGAGCAGAGTTACCATTCGTACATATGAATAATTTATTAGCCATAATTCCAAAACCTTTGACCTTTAGTCATAAAATTTCTTGGGTATGTTAATAAATAGT